TTCTTTCTTTCTTTCTTTCTTTCTTTCTTTCTTTCTTTCTTTCTTTCCTTCCTTCCTTCCTTCCTTCCTTCCTTCCTTCTTTCCTTTCCTTTCCTTTCCTTTCCTTCCCTTCCCTTCCCTCCCCTCCCCTCCCCGCCCCTCCCCTCCCCTTCCCTTTCCTTCCTTTCCTTCCTTTCCTTTCTTTCCTTTCTTTCTTTCTTTCTCCACACTGCACGGCATGCGGGATCTTAGTTCCCTGACCAGGGATTGAACCCGCGCCCCTGCAGTGGAAGTGTGGTGTCTTAACCACTGGACTGCCAGGGAAGTCCCAAGGTACACTTTCTTGATTAGTCTAATTTAAAACCAGAAAATGGAACTAACTAGAACTTTTTTCACAAACTAAGGCTAAGGAAAAGGCAAAGACAGAACAATAAGTAGAATTGGAGATTTTGTCAGGGGAACATAGCTACTTTGTTTTTAATTAAAATAATCTTTTAATTGTGTTAAAATACATATAAAATATCACATTTTTGTACAACCAGTCTCCAGAATTCTTTTCATCCTGCAAAACTGGAACTCTGTACCCATTAAACAACAACTCCGTATTTCCTCTTCCCCTAGCCCCTGGCCACCAACCTTTTATTATCTCTCTATGAATTTGATGGTTCTGGGTACCTCATATAAGTGGAATCATACAGTTTGTCTTTTTATTACTGGCTTATTTCTTAGCATAATGTCCTTACTTAGCATAATGTCCTCAAGGTTCATTCATGTTGTCACATGTGTCAGAATTTCCTTTTTAAGGCTGAATAACATTCCATTATATGCATATACTACATTTTGTTAATCCATTCATACATTAATGGACATTTAGTTTGTTTCTGTATCTTGGCTCTTGTGAATAATGCTGCTGTGAACATGGATGTGCAGATACCTCTTCAAGACTGATGTCAATTCTTTTGTGTATGTACCCAAAAGTAGGATTGCTGGATTGTATGGTAATTCTCTGTTTAATTTTTTGAGGAACTGAACATAGCTACTTTTATGATCCAGGCTACTTACTTCATCCAGGCATGTAAGGAGAAGTGAAGTATATTGTGTTATGTATTCTTTTGACACAGACATGTATTATTTACATATTAAAATATGGGAATCTTTTTTTCATTTCAACAAGGAAATATGTTTACATTTTTCTTCAAACACATGTCTGTATTTTGTTTTCCTGCTTTGATTGTAACATGGGTACTGGAAACATTTCACTTTCACTGGAAACACTTCACTTTCTTCCAAACTCCATTGTAAGAAATAACAACAGGAGTACAGTAATAAAGAGTAACTGGCACTTAAGTCAGAGTTGGACAGATAGTAGAGTAGTGAACTGGAGAGCACTTGCCCTGTTCATTGCTGTCGTACACCACGTGAATCCAGTGTGGCCAAATTTTCTGGGCTTTCAAGAGAAGCTGGAAATTTGCATTCCTGTGTGAAATAACCATTCCTGTGGTTTTGTTTTTGTTTTATGTTGACAGCTAATTCAGCCTTTTAAGAAACACTGTGTAGGCCACACAAAACATGTCTGTGACCTGAATTCAGCCCGTGGGGCCTTACGGTTCACCAAATTAGTCTTCTGAGGCCATCTTCTAACAGAGTTGAGCAGGTGGAAGGATCAGAGAGGAAGGTACTGCTGGGCCAGCCAGCCTGATCAGCAGAATCAAACATCTCCTGATGACAGCACAGCTACCTCACTTCCACTTTATAAATGGAGTTTGGGAATTTAGAGATGATTGAACTCTTTAATTATAACAGGTATCACAGAAAGCAGTTGTTCCCCATCGTATATTATTTTCAGTTTTTTAAATGATATTTAAATTTAAACACAATTGTAAAAGTAAAACATTCCTTGTGAAAATTTTTACAAAAATTTGGCATGTGTTTGTATACCTTTTCCCCTAAAGTTAGAATAATACTATAAGTAATTTTATGTCTTACCTTCTTCAGCGTTGTAGGCATTTTCTCGTATCATTCATATTCTTCAAAAACAGGACTTTTAATGCTCTGGCAGCCCTATGTTGTAACGTGAGCTGTGATAGGAATACTGTACTAGTGAGTGAAAAGCTGGTAGTGTTATCACAGGAGGACTCATAAGGAGGTACTCCTTTGCCTTGGCCTTCTCCCTGGCTGCATCATACGTTTGCTGTCATCCTAGTGTGTCCTTTCTGCACATCCTAAATTCTGTGAAATAAACTTGAAAGCTCTTTTCTCCCTACTGACTTTTGCTTCCTGGTTTTATTTTTAATAACATCTTTATTGAGATAATTCATATACCATAAAAATTTGCCATCTTAAAGTGTACAATTTAATGTTTTTTGGATATCCACAGACTTGTGCAACCATCACCACTGTCTAAGTTTAGAACATTTTTATCACCACAAAAAGAAACCCCATATCCATTAATGGTCACTTCCCATGACCTCCAACCTTCCCAAACCTAGACAACCACTAATCTAGTTTCTGTCTCTATAGATTTACCAATTCTGGCATTTCTTGTAAATGGAATTATACAATATGTGGCATTTATGACTGGCTTCTTTAGTTTAACGTACTGTTTTTAAGTTTCATCTATGTTTTAGCATTTATCAGTACTTCATTTCTTTTTATGGCTGAATAATAATTCCATTGTATGTATATACCACATTTTGTTTATCCCTTCATCAATTAATAAGCATTTGGGTGGTTTGTACTTTTTGGCTATTATGAATAATGCTGTTATGAACATTCATGTACAAGTTTTTGGATAAATATATGTTTATAATTTTCTTGGGTATGTATCTAGATGTGAAATTGCTGGGTCATGTAGTAATTCTATGTTTAACTTTTGAGGAATTGCCAAAGTGTTTATCACAGTGGCTGCCATATATTGTATTCCCACCAGCAGTGTATAAGTGTTTATCTTCTTTGGGGAAATGTCTATTTAGATCTTTTGCCCATTTTTTAAATTGGGTTGTTTGTCTTTTTATTATTGTGTTGTAAGAGTTCTTTATTTTGGATACTAGTCCATGTATAATATATGATATATACTAGTCCAGATATATGATTTGCAAATATTTTCTCCCGTTGTGTGGGTTGTCTTTTCACTTTCTTGATGGTATCCTTTGAATCACAAAAATGTTTAATTGTGATAAAGTCCCATTTATCTATTTTTTCTTTCGTTGCTTGTGCTTTGGGTGTCATATCAATGGTTTTATTTTTTAGTACAGTAAGTGAATTGGAAATTTATAAATGTTCCAGTATTAGCTATTGATTTGAAGGAGTAATAACCCCTATACTTCAGACTTGGATTTTTTCTGTTAGTTTTTAATTCCTGACTTACTTTGTTCACTTTTAGACTTATGTCACTACCAGTGTATTTCCTTGGTGTCTCATGTCACTTATGTTTTGTAGGGTGTTGTCCCAACTGCTCAGCGGGCTGCCATCGTTGTGGGAGTAGAGCTACCAGTCTATGACATTACGAAGAAGCACTTAATATTATCAGGGGTGGTGGGAGACACAATCTTAACTCACTTTGTGTAAGTATGATAGGTTGTACTCATTCCATATATTCAGTACTTTAAGCACAAAAAGCATCTTTCACTGAAGTCCTCAGGTAGAATTGATAATGGGTACATATGGTCTAAATACCTTTTTCTCTCTCATCACCAGAACTTCAAGCCTTCTGATACAGGTACAGAGATTCCAGATGCTATGGGCACTTTGGTACTTGGGGGCAGTGTCTAATACAGTAGCCTATCAGAGGTCTGTAGGATTTGCATTTGTTCATACACAGCCTCTGTATCTAATAAACTCATCTATTATTTGCTTTGGTTAATTTTGGATCAGAAAGCAAATTTTCTCAATGAGAAACAGAATAAAAGGGTGAAATTTTATAGGGCCTGTGAAACAAAACCACAGTTTTGGGCTGAAGACTGTTGCTAATTTCATTCTACGTTTTCTTCATCTTGCAACTTTTATGATATTTTACTACTCAAATGCATTTGGCGTATGATGCTGTGGTTTGAAAAATGTACATAACTAATAGATGATGCATAATACTTCCTGCTTAGGGAACTTGCTAGACTTATATAAACTGTCCCCTTCAAAAAAAAGGCTATCTGAATTTTGGATTGAAAAGTGAAGGGGACAACTTTTGAATAATGTAAAGATTAGTAAATATTTCCTTTCTTTTTAGATTGTAATGAAAGGGCAAGTGCCAGGTTTTATCTGATGAGTCTGACTCATTGTACATTTATATTTGGACTAATTTCAGTTTAAGCGGGCAGAGGTGGAAGTGGGGCAGTCTGTCTTCTTAAAGTTTTTATCTTTAGTTCCAGCTTTACATGCGGCTTGGCTGGGGCTCTGGCTTCCAATCCAGTTGATGTGGTTCGAACTCGCATGATGAACCAGAGGGCAATTGTGGGACATGTGGACCTCTACAAAGGCACTTTGGATGGTATTTTAAAGGTACGCACACTGTGAACTTGGATTGTATTTTTAATTTTCTTTGATGTCTCAGACCTTCTTGCAGTCTTTATTCTTAGTTGCTGCATTTCATTCTGAAGGCGGAAGAATCATTATGTCTATTTTTAGTAGCCTCTCAGAGTAATTTCTAGGTAGGAAAGCTGTCTCCTTGGCAATCTGCTGATGCACAGTGGTCCTTAATATTATTATTCCAGTTTGAATGCTTAAGACTGCAGGATACTTTTATCAATAGCACCATGTAGAATTACTGATAGAAAGGACTTAACATTATCCCACATTTGCCCATTTCAGACAAGGCAGAGATGCTATAATAGAAAATCTGGTACTTGGTTTCCATTCAGCATTGTACTATTGTTCACGGTTTGGCTTTGAAAGTTTCTGCTATGTTATGTTTGTAGGAAGCTGAATATCATACATGTATTATATATTATATAATCATTCATGATAATACTTCTACAAAAAACAAATTTGGAGCTAAAATATGATATTGTCATATGGTTTCTCAGTTTAGTTAACAACTATTATCTATCAGGCACCATTTTAGTACGTACAGAGAAATTACAGGGTACCACATGTATACAAACAGATAATCAACACATCTTGTCAAGTGATAAACTCAGGGGTCTATGGGAGGAAATTTTAGTCCAATTTGGAAGTTTGGGATAGGTTTCCTGTAGATGGAGCGTCTAAAATAATAGTAACTCACATCTGTTGAGTGCTTTACTGTGTATCGGGGACTGTCCTAATGAGACTTACATGTATTCATTTATTTAATCCTCACCAGTACAGCATACTGAAGTGCTAAGAGATTAACCTGCCCAAGGTTTCACAGCTAGTAAGTGGGAGAGCTGGGATTTCAACTTAGACCATTGGCTTCAACCCAACATTCTTCACACTGTGGTGCCTTCCTCATGTTGGTGGATGAGGGTTAGTTAGGTTATAAAGGATATTGAATGCTATGCTGAGATGCTTGGACTTATTCTTTTACTTGATGAGGAGCTATTGAAAGATTTTAATCAGGTCAGATCTACGTTTTAAATAGATCACGCTGGCTTTGTGGAGACAGTTGTTCTCAATCTTAGATGCACACTGCAATCACCTGGGGAACATTCACAGCTCTGCACCCACCTTAAACCAATGACCTCAGAACGCCTGGGGTGGGAGCCAGGTTATCAGTATTTTGAAAACTCCTCAGGTGATTGCAATGTTCGCCCAAGGTTGAAAACCATTAATCTAAGGGGATAAGCCTGGAACAGTGGTTCTTAAAACTTTAACATGCATCTGAACCCCCTGGAAGGCTTGTTAAAATGCAGGTGGCTGGGCCCCATCACCAGATTCTGATTCAATAAGTTTGGAGAAGAACCTGGGAATTTGCATTTCTAACCAGTTCCCAGGCAGTACTGATGCTCCTAGTCTGGGACCACACTTTGAGAACCACTGACCTAGAGATAGGGAAACTGATTAGAAGGCTCTTATAGTAGTCTGAGCAAGAGATGATGAGAGCCTGAACTTGAGCATGAATAGTGGGGATAGAGTTGAGAATAATTTAGTTGATAAAGTCAACAGGATTTTGTTGACTTGATGTGGAGAGGTGTGGGAGAAAGAAGATGTCAAAGATAACTTCCCCCCCCCCAAAAAAAAGATAACTTCCCAGTTTTTGGCCTTGGTGACCATGTAGTGACATTCATTGACAGAGACATTACAGGAAGAGGAGCAGGTTTTGTGGGAGACATCACAGTTTTGGATATTTTGAGGAACACCCAGTGAATATATTTGGATATCTTAGTCTTAACTTGGGGGAGAGTTCAGGGGTGTAGATAAGAACCTGGGGAAGCAGTAGTGTACAGGTGTTACATAACTGGAGGGGGAGGCCAAGGAGAGCAGGTAGAGGAGTTCACAGCTTTTTTGCTTTCCTAGCACACTGGAGTATTATAAAACTCCTTCCATTCATTAACAGTGATTCACAGAAGCAGTGATTCTCATACCCTGGGGAGTAGAGTTTGGCAAAAGACCCCCTTTCTATTTCTGACATGCTCACCCTTCCACTTGACAGTCACTGGTATAGAGAGAAGTGGGACCAAGGAAAGAACTCTGGGGAAATACCAACTTTTAAGGGCTTGGCAGACGAGGAACCCAGGAGAGACACCAAAAGGTAACACTTCAGGGAATTCCCTGGTGGTCTAGTGGTTAGGACTCTGCGCTTTCACTGCTGAGGGTGCGGGTTCAGTCCACTGTTGGGGAACTAAAATCCCACAAGCCATGTGGTGCGGCCAAAAAAAAAAAAAAAAGAAGAAAAAAAGATAACAGTTCAGAAGATACGAGGAAACTTACAAGCGAGTAGTGTCACAGAAGCCAAGGGAGTAATGAGCTTCAAGAAGGGATGAGCAGTTATTTAATGCTAAATGGAATAGAGAGATCCAGTGTAAGGACTGCAAAGTGTCTGCTGGATTTAATATTTTCTAGAGGAGGTTTGCTGGATTGGTATTTGTAAAAGTCAGATTGCTGTGCATTGAAGAGTGTGTTTAATCATTCATTCATTCATTACAAAAATGTTTGTGTCTTCTGTGCTAGGTACTGTTCTAGGTTGGTGAACAAATAAGTCCTGGCCTTCATGACATTTTAATTCTAATAGGAAGAGACAGATAAACACATAGGAAGTGAGGATGAGTAGACAAGTATAAAATACTCTTTCAAGAAGGTTGGCTAAGAGGAGATAGAGGGTATAGTAATATAGTAATAGCATTTATTGAATGCTTATTATGTACCACACACTAGAGTATATCCTTTAACTCTCAGCAACCCTATAGAGTGGATAATATCTTTGTCATTTTATATAGGAGAGAACTCAGGTTCAGAGTAGCTAAGTATTTACCCAAGATTATATACCTAATAAGTGGCAGATCTGAGATTTAAATCAGGGTTTGTTTGATTCCAGGGTTTATACTTGTAACCACTATGCTGTATGATATTGTCAGAAACATATTTTCATGTTGACAGTAACCTTTAAGTACTTATATTTACTCACTCATTCACTTACTTGCTATTAAAATTCTTTAAAACAACTTTGCTCTTTATTGTCATCATACATTTTTATTTTATCTATAAGAGTGCCATAACACTTTGGTGAATGGAATTATGCATTCATCTCTGATGTAGAAATGAGCAGCTGCAAATCTCATCCTGTTACCTCTATATTAAAACCCTTGAATGGCTTCTCTTTGATGCAAGGTCCATATGACTTGACCCCTTTTTACCTCTACAGCCTTATCTTTGCTACCTTTATTCTGTATTCCAGACATACTGAACAAGTTCTAGTACCAGACTTTTCTTTCATTCCCAAGTTTTCACCCATGCCATATACTTTGTTAGACGGCTAGCTTCTACTCATTCTTCAGATTGCATTATTTTTTCATAAAGGCCTTCCCTGACCATTAAACTGTGTATGTGTATGTAGTTCTGTATACTTGCTCTGTCATAGCATTTAATATATTTTAAAAAACATCTTTTTTTAAACATCTTTATTGGGGTATAATTGCTTTACAATGGTGTGTTAGTTTCTGCTTTACAACAAAGTGAATCAGTTATACATATACATATGTTCCCATATCTCTTCCCTCTTGCGTCTCCCTCCCTCCCACCCTCCCTATCCCACCCCTCCAGGCGGTCACAAAGCACTGAGCTGATCTCCCTGTGCTATGTGGCTGCTTCCCACTAGCTATCTACCTTACGTTTGTTAGTGTATATATGTCCATGCCTCTCTCTCGCTTTGTCACAGCTCACCCTTCCCCCTCCCCATATCCTCAAGCCCGTTCTCTAGTAGGTCTGTGTCTTTATTCCTGTCTTACCCCTAGGTTCTTCATGACATTTTTTTTCTTAAATTCTATATATATGTGTTAGCATACGGTATTTGTCTTTCTCTTTCTGACTCACTTCACTCTGTATGACAGACTCTAGGTCCATCCACCTCATTACAAATAGCTCAATTTCATTTCTTTTTATGGCTGAGTAATATTCCATTGTATATATGTGCCACATCTTCTTTATCCATTCATCCGATGATGGGCACTTAGGTTGTTCCCATCTCCAGGCTATTGTAAATAGAGCTGCAATGAACATTTTGGTACATGACTCTTCTTGAATTAAAAAAACATCTTTTTTGATGTTTCTTTAACTTCATAGAATTCATAAAATTCACCTATTCAGAGTGAATAGGCTTTTGGTATATTCACGGATATGTGCAACCATCATCACCACAGTCAGTTTTAGAACATTTTCATGACCTCAAAAAGAAACCCTGTGCCCTTTAGCTATTACCTCCCTGTCTTCCAGCCCTAAGAAACTACTAATGTACTTTTATCTCTGTAGATTTGCCTATTCTGGATATCTTATATAAATGGAACCATACAATATGTGAGCATTTTTTTTTTTTTTTTTGCGTTATGCAGGCCTTTCACTGTTGTGGCCTCTCCCGTTGCGGAGCACAGGCTCCGGACGCGCGGGCCCAGCGGCCACGGCTCACGGGCCCAGCCGCTCCATGGCATGCGGCATCCCCCCGGACCGGGGCATGAACCCGTGTCCCCTGCATTGGCAGGTGGACTCTCAACCACTGCGCCACCAGGGAAGCCCTATGTGAGCTTTTTGACTGGCTCATTTCACTTATCATAATGTTTCAAGGTTCATCCATGCTGTAGCATGTATCAGTACAGGCATACCTCAGAGGTGTGCTTCCAGACCACCGCAATAAAGCAAATGTCACAATAAAGCGAGTCACATGAACTTTTTGGTTTCCCAGTGCATGTAAAAATTATGTTTACGCTATACAGTAGTCTATGATGTGTGCAATAGTATTGTCTTAAAAAAAACAATGTACATACCTTGATTTGCTAAAAAATGTTAACCATCATCTGAGCCTTCAGTGAGTCATTTCTTTGCAAGAGTAACATCAAAGGTTACAGATCACGATAACAAATATAATATAATGA